TCATGAAAATGAGTCTAATGTTTTGTTTTCTATTATAATCAGTGTAAACTTGAGTCTTAATCATTTATCAGCTCTTTCTAGACTTTACGCTTCATACTTCTTGTTCTAAGGTTTTTAGATTTTCGACCTGTTTGGACAAGTTCTGGGGAAATGGAACTAGGCATTTAAGAAAAGGAGGCAGCAACCGCCACTGTCTAGATTTGTGCATATAAATAGGTCTTATACGTCTCTGTAATTTGTCATCCATGAATAATTGGGGGCACTCAAAAGTTACAGGCAGAGGAGATCAACCTTTGAAAGTTTGAAGTTTGTCTCTGAAAATCAATTGTTCTTGAAAAATTAGGTGCCGAAGTGACTGTGAGTCATGCCCTGCCACAACTTCATTTATTATTTTCAGTTGTCTGCTACTGGGGAGATTTGATGTAGAGAAATTCAGGCTAAAAATGAACATGTCTTTGGGGGAAATACTTTAATTGTAAATAATTGCTTATTATATACTATAACTGAAATATGAGATATTTGGTGAAATTTAAAATGTTAGGTGAGTTCACCATGGAAAACAATGATTATTATCCATTTGATAAAAAAAAATGACTGCCTTAAACTCAAACCTAAGTTTTCAATATGCCTGTTGAATTCAGTGTTTAGAAGAATCAAACATGAATTTAAGCCAGGACTAAAGATCAATGAAATGCAACCCTAAACTCTATTTTACATGGGGAAAACAATGATAATACTGCTGACATTTAACAAATATGAGCCCAAGTATATATTTTATGTGCTCCCCTTTTAATAAGTGGTGTTCAGAATTATAGGGTCAAGGAAATAATGTTTGTGATAGAAGCCAGAGTATATTATGACATCACAGCTACTGTGGAACAGAAAAATACATTATAAGGGCTGTTTTAATGAAAATCATGCATAGAATAATGATTTAAAAGCAAAAATGAAAATATTATGGAATTTCCCTTTGTGTCTGACTTTGTTTAATTCTATCCTGATTTCTGTATCACTTTGTGGGACCAAAATATAAACAAATTCTGCTAAAACAGCTGCTAAGAGAACATCACTATATGTTTACATTTTTACAAAACCCAGTTTAATCCACACATAGCCTGCCCCTGCTGCTATTCAAATTCTTAAAATACTGTCTTTCTTTCTTTGCTGTGATTTTGAAGGCAATTAACAGAGTCCAATTTAACCAGGGAAAAGGAAAGTTTCCAAATACAGTATAGAGAGGTATGGTCTAAACAGAGAAACCCTTGGATGCAAGCATTTGTACTAACAAAGGCTCCCTTCATGATCTCCAGCTAAACTTCATTTCAGTTCTGCCATCTGTCAAATGAAATGAATCTTGCTCCCTTCTCAGTGTGTTGAAGAAAAATAACTTGTTATATATAAAACATGTCATATTTGAACTAGGTATTAGCTTTTTATACTTGGAAATCTTCTGAAGTTTAAAAAAAGAGGAAGTGTTTAAATTTTACTTTTTGAGCACTAAAAGACATATTAAATTCATAGGGGAAAGTTCTGCTAAATTTACAGAATAAAACAAGACTTTATTCTGACAATACAGATGCTGTCATTAACTGGCAAGATGTCCTTAAAATCCGTCCTGTAATGAGGAAAGAATTTCAAACTACATACCACATTATCTGCGGATACTGCCTGGTGATCTTCATCTTTGTGTGTCCTGGTCTCATTTGCGATGACTTCACTGGGCTCCTCTATAGGAAGAAAAGTGAAGATTTCATATCTTATATCAACAACTGTACTGTACTTTAAAAATAATACTTCAATAATGTCTCTTTTTCCAAAAACATACACATGGTAAATCTATGACAAATGTGCTTTGTTATGAATTTTATTCATTTGTATCTTAGTCATATATATTTTAGTTAGTTATGTGGATGGATAGAAATCCAAGGATTATCATCACTGTGCTAGAAACGATGCGAGAAAACTGTGTTTTCAACATTGGATAAATAAATACAGAAGTCATTTATATACTATAAAGCTGCTAAAAATGAAGTAAAGTGAGCTACTTTCAAGTGAAAAAACTGAAAGTGATAAAAGCTATGATGTAGGTTCACATAATTTTATATATGGAAAAGAAAACATACATTTTTAATGAAAAAAAGGGTGACACCATTTGTGCTCAAGTGTTTCCATTATTATCCTTGGATAGAAGTATATGTAACTATAAATTACTTTAACTTTAATTTTAATTTTTAAAATTTTGTTTAGTTAAGCTTTTCTGTTGTATTACTCTTTTTTCCTTCCTTCCTTCCTTCCTTCCTTCCTTCCTTCCTTCCTTCCTTTCTTTCTTTCCTTCTTTCTTTCTT